TCCCTGGAGGTCCAGTGGTTAGGACTCAGTGCCTTCACTGAGGTGGCCCGGGTTCAAGCCCTGGTTGGGGAACTAAGATCCCGCAAGTTGCATGACCCCTGCCCCCCAAAAAAAGATGCAAATGAACTTATTTACAAAATAGAAACAGACTTACATAGAAAACAAACTTATGGTTACTAAAGGGGAAGGGGGTGTGGAAGGGATAAATTGGGAGTTTGGGATTAGCAGATACAAACTGCTATATATAAAATAGATAACAATGTCGTACTGTTTAACACAGGAAACTATATTAAATATCCTGTAATAAACCATAGTGGAACAGAATATGAAAAAGAATATATATGGGGGCTTCTTTGGTGGTCCAGTGGCTAAGACTCTACACTCCCAATGCAGGGGCCCTGGGTTTGACCCCTGGTCAGGGAGCTAGATCACACATGCTGAACTAAAGATCCGGAGTGCTGCAACTAAGACCCAACGCAGCCAAATAACTAAATACATATTTTTTTTAAAAAGCATATATATGGGCTTCCCTGGTGGCGCAGCGGTTGAGAATCTGCCTGCTAATGCAGGGGACACGGGTTCGAGCCCTGGTCTGGGAGGATCCCACATGCCGCAGAGCAACTAGGCCCGTGGGCCACAACTACTGAGCCTGCGTGTCTGGAGCCTGTGCTCTGCAACAAGAGAGGCCGCGATAGTGAGAGGCCCGCGCACCGAGATGAAGAGTGGCCCCTGCTTGCCGCAACTAGAGAAAGCCCTCGCACAGAAACAAAGACCCAACACAGCAAAAATAAATAAATTAATTAAAAAAAAAACAAAAGAAAAAGAGAAATGGTCATATAATTACCATTTAAAAAAAAAAGCATATATATGTATAACTGAATCACTTTGCTGTATACCAGAAGCTAACACAACACTGTAAATCAACTATATTTCAATTAAAAAAAAATACAATCACTTATGAATAACTGGAAAATAATAAAGTACATTTGTGGCTTATGTTTTATTTCTATTGGATAGCACTGGTCTAGAATTTGTTTTTTAGTAAGGACCACAAATGTGTCCCCATGGCCTCAGTTTCCCATTTTTCTTCTAGTCTCTTAGTTTCCATGGCAGCCCTGCTTTGGAAATGGGAATGTCCCAAGTTTCAGGTTTTTAACTGCTTAGGTGGTGGAAATGTTTCTTCTTGAGCCCTAGAATAGTAGGGGAAACATAAGTCACCTTATGTTAAATTATGAGAAAGTAATGGCAGGTTTTAAACAAGCCTCATTTCCAACAAATGAGGAAGAATTGAATTTCACATTTATTTACATGATAATAATGAGCAGTGTTCCTGAATTTTGGTAGTAGTGATTTGACTGGGAAACAATAGTTTTTTTAATAGCATATGAGAATTATCTATAACTTTAGGGGTCATTTAGAATTATATTTGCTTATCTGAAATTTGGATTTAAATTATATTTTAGAAAACTTTTTCCAGAATAAATAGAAGAGAGGCTAATGTGATAAATTATTCCTTTATGTAAGTTTTCTGCTCCAACATCATTATCAAAAGTCAACATATTGAAGTGTTAAATGGCTACTATACATTCAGCACTTACTATTTGGTAGGCATTAATACTGTATTCATTAAATTCCCCCATGAACTGTATGTGGTAGGTACTATTATAATTCCCAATTGACTGAGGATGAAACTGAGGTATGGAGTGGTTAGTTAACTTGCTCAAGGTCACATAGGTAGTATGTTTTAAACGACAGTAGCTTATACTTAGTGCTTTCTCAATAAAATCTATCAACTTTTAGTTTTTCCCAGGAGAATGTAAGCTCCAAGTGGGCAGGGACTTAGTTTTGTCACTTAGTTGTTTCACTGACAGTTGAGATTGCTTTCTGGCATGTAGTAGATCCCAGGAATTAATTGAAAGAATTTTGTGATGATGATGATGTTCATCTAGAGACTTGGCCTTGAGAATCTACTAGAATTGCTTTAAATTTTGCACTGTTGCTTATTAGCAGTAATGTTCGTTTATCTACCACTTCCAAATTAACTTCAGTGTTATGTACTGTTTGGCATACTTTATGCATGTTATATCTTAATAAAATATTTAATAAAAAATTGTTTACTAGGAGCTGTAGCTTTTGTTCATCTCTTTTCCTTTTATGTGTTGGAAATGCATTGGAGCCACAAGGAAACGTAAGAAAAATCAAGACTACCAGAGGTCCCACTGTGTGTTCAGATAAGTTGGGAGAAGAAAGTATAGTAAAGCAACTTTCCACCTGTCCTTAGAAAAAATAGTATAGCGATAAAACAATTCAAGGTTTCATCTAAAAGCCTCAGCCTCCCTGGTTGTTGCAGTCATTAAAATCGAAAACACATTATTTTATTTATTTTTAGAAATTACAGTTTCCATTCTTAGTTTGGAAACAGACCTGTGAAATAAATTTTATAAAATAGGGCTTTGAAATCAAAGGTTTTTGTAATTAATAGTGTTAGGAGAAGGGTAACTATGCTACTTCTACCCAGGAAATTTTCATTTAATTCTGAGGTGTATTCTCATTTTACAATAATAAAATTGAGAGTTAGATGGTGACTTACCTGAATTAACATCACAAATAAGTGGCAGAACTGGAAATCAACCTCACATCTGTCTGACTCCCAAGGCCATGATTTTTTAAAATACTGTCTGTCATTTTGCTGTTTTCCATTTTTTCCCCTTACAGTTCTTGAGTCTTAAAGTGGGATTTTAAGTTATTTTGTGTGGGCAGTGGGGTTGGAGTTTTGGATTGTGGAAATACTGGATGTTTGAATTAAAGTATGGATGTAATAAATGGTAATTGTTGCGTGATAGAAAAATTAAGCTGTGAAAAATCTGTCTTTAACTTTCCATTTTCTTTTTATCTTTGGTTATCTGTGGATAAAAACCCTACTCTAGAACATAGAATACTTCTTTATAATGGGATTCATCATGGTGATTGTATTTTCTTGAGTTTTTTAGTAAATTTTTCATACACGAATAGTGTTCTTTCCTTAGAGTGAAAAAAAGACTCACTTTTCTCTGAATTACAATTTTGGGGGAATGAGGACAGAGGTAACATTTGTTTATTAATATTTGTTTACTTAGCATTTTACTAAACAAACAGTTGGGGACAATCTAGAAGGCAGCTTTTCTAATTTGTTACTTCTTTCTACCCTTCCCCAAACTTCAGTGTAGTAAGTGTTCTTTAGTATCCTGCCATTTTAGGATTATTTACTTCTTTTGGGGAAGGGGATATTGTGGGAACCTTATAGAGAACTTTGAAAGCATTCACGATTTGCAAGATTCGGTTACTCTTGTTTCCCTTAGAAATCGTAGGGGAGAAAAATAGATGTCTGTAAGTTACACTTTTGGCTTCTTAAATTGGTCAGTGAACGAACATCTGGTGTCTGTGATTTTCATTTTAACATTATTCATTCCTGTGCTTACTGGAAAAGGTATTTTACCATTACTAAAATTGTACATTTCATCCTCTTCTGAAAATACCAAGGATGATAATGATTTTTTTAGGGCACAGGAAGAAGTTCCCCATTATGCATATTTATAATTAAATTTAATTTGGGGGTAAAATTATCTTCAGAAAAAAATGAAATACTTTAATCCCAAATGTAGAAAAAGATTATGAAATAAACCAGTACTAGTTAAAGTGCATAAAGTAAGTTTTTTAATCCTGTGTTCTTATTAAAAGATAAGATAAATTAGGAGTCATTAAATCTTTAAAATTTGAGTTTTAAATTATGTATTTTTTCTGTACTTAACATTCGGTACTGAACTGTTTAGTACAGAGAAAGTGAAAATGATGGTATCTTCTCCTGGGGGTGAGGGGAGGAAGTCAGGGACCTTAAAACAATAATTCCTACACTGTTTCATCCAGTAAGCAAGTTTAAGAAGGTGGGTTCAAAAGCAAAAATTTACTTTTGAAATATTGTGGGGCTTTCTTTCATAAGAGTACATGTGTCACTTAGGTATAAAGTGTAAAGTACAAAATAAGTAGATGTAGATAAATATAAAAATCCTAACCAAAAAATGAAAGGAAAGGTTTGTATATTAAGGATTTATGTTTTAAAAAATTGAGAAAAGGGGAGGATCATTGTGTTTGGTGAATAGACCAGTAAGATACTGGGGTAGGTTACATAATGTAAGTGGAGAGCCCATTTGCAGGCAGGTACTTGGGAGCGTTAAAGTGAATCCCACTGGAGGGTTTCCTGAATCATGATCACTGTTTACTATGAGAATGGATTGTTAAAGATTATTGAGAGATTGAAGTGATAATATTGATATGACAGTACTTTGAGAAGTGTAAAGTACAAAATAAGTAGATGTAGATAAATATAAAAATCTGTTTTGAGAAGTAAGTAATTGCCATTGAAGTAAACTAAGCAGAAAAACAGTTTGAGGAAGGCGTTAGAAGATTCTATTGACACATTTAGGCTTTAGGAATTATTGTGGAAAGCGATATTAATTAGACACTTAGAGCTTTCATCATCCTGGTTGATGGTGTGGTATTTCAGTTAACGTAAACATCTAGAAATTTAAGTGAGAGCTTATAGCCTAAATAGTTTTTAATGATCTTGAATTTTCTGTTTGGGCTAGAACCCATGTAGCCCGGGGGTATCGAATTGCAGAGTTCATCTACAGATGAATAGAATTATCACTTTGGACCTAACACACATGAACTCAGCAAATATAAAATAAAGGTGTCTGCTAGTTTTCTCTAAACATTCCTGTTAACCAGACATTGTACTGTTGTTCAGAGTGGTGTTATGTCATTAAAAACATTGCAGTTAAAATTTGTTAGTATTTTTGTTTTAAATATTCACATTGGCTAATTACGTTCTAGAAAAGCAGACTATTATTTTTACTAGAGCAGATAAGCTTATGAAAGAGCGTGTTTCAAAATTTTTTATAGGTAATAAAATAGGCTTTTTTCTTGCTGATATAACTAACATTTATTTTCTGTTTATTTTTAAGACGAGCAAAAATCAAATTAAAGTAGATCTTGTAGATGAGAATTTTACAGAATTAAGAGGAGAAATAGCAGGACCTCCAGACACACCATATGAAGGCAAGTACTTTTTTCTGTATCAAAATATTGTGCGTATTACAACTTGTCCGAAACATTAAATCAGAATAATCTCAAAAATTTATAAACTACGTGAAAGGTAACTTCATTTGGCTTAAGGATATATACAGCAGTTTTTAAATAATAAATTTAGATACTTATCTAGACTGATTTTTCTTACTGAATTTTAGCTAATTTTTTTCTTTTTCCAAAGAGCCAAGTTACAGGTTATATTATGTTAGAATCTTAACAGTATAAAACATCTAGCATGTTAAGCCTTTAACTTATATGGACTCTCAGTTACCCTTCATATGGTATCTGTAAACAAACCTTGCCTTAAATTTCTGACTTACGTTAATTAAAGAAAAGCTTTTCTCCCGTTTGTCATTTAGCATGTAATTTACTCATATGTCTTCATACAGGCTGTATTCCAAATATTTAATTTTCTTTATTCAGGAAAGCTTTGAGTGATCGTTTCAAGACATATAGAAAGGAGACAGTTTTGCTGAACTCTGTGTTTACAAACTAAGTCTATAGCTACTTTAGACCATGGAATTGGGTGGTAAGATACAGAAAGAAGCTTTATAGCTTTTTATTCCCTCATTAGGCAGATCCTCAGTAGTGAGTGTTACTGTAAATTTGGATTATATAGCATAACCAAGATTCTTGCATATAATAAGCATTCACATATTTGTTTAATGGAAATCATGTCATGGAATTTGTAGTAATAGCACTTATTGAGTTCTTACTTGTTAGAGGTTTACGTGTACTTTCTCATTCACTCCTTATAACAAATCTTATGAGGTAAGTACGGTTATCGCTGTTTCATAGATGAAGAAACTTAAGCTCAGGAAAGTTAAGTAACTTGGCTAAGACATCTAAGCAGCACAGCTGGGATTTGAGTCCTAATAGTCATTCCAAAGCCTGTGTTTTTAATCACTTTCTGCTCTTGAATAAATCAGGATTCATTGAATATTGGAAGTGGTGGTTATGTCTCCTTTGAATGTAGTGGTTCTACAATTCTGTAATGAACAGTTACCCAAAATTTTTCAGAAAAATTCAACGTTCTAGAATGTGTTTCTGTTTTCATTCAAAGTTTTAAAGACCCTAGAATGTCTTTAGCATGTTCTACCAAATCTTAAATGACAAAATTTTATTTTGTTTTATAGTTCATATGAGCCATTTCTAGACTTATTTAATTTTGTTTGTTGTTTTGTGAGTGCCTCCTGTATGCCAGGCCTCATCTGGATGCTTTCATGGATGCTATTCATTTAGTCCTTTTGACAGTTGTTAGATGGAGAAGAGATCTTTAGTTACCTTACACAAATCAAGTTCGTCCTTAATAGCAGATATTGTTTGTAATGATATACAAGCTTCTTCTTGAAGGCATACATTATAAATATTCTTTAATTACTTTTTAGGTTGTTTAGATGTATTTTTGAAAGATAGTAGGGCAGTAGCATTATCACCATGGAGCTCTTCCAGTAAATTGATATTTATAAACAAGAGATCTCCTGAACTAGGCAGAATGTTTATTACCTTCTTAGCAACCCTTAATAAAGGTATATGAATTTTAAAAAAATTGGACAGTACTTATTTGTAGGATGATTAAATTATAACTATACCACATTCATTAGTTAGAAACAAGTTTGGTCATTTTTAAGTGCTTATGTCTTCTGCTGCCACTAAATGAGACATTAATGTTTGATAAGATTAGTTTTAATATGCTTCTTGGGTATATATTTGAAGTAGATTCACTTAAATTGTATTCTTTTTATCATAAAACTATTGAAGTTGTTCATTTTGTTTAAGAAAAGCAAATTTGAGGGCATAAACTTAGGTACTTTTTTTGAAATACAAACAGGGGTAAAATATTTTGCTAATATTTATCTCAGGACTCTTGCTAAATTTTGAGGGATTTTTTTTTTGAGGGTTTTTGTTGTTGTTCTTTTATCTCAATAGCCAGGGCAAAAGTTTACATGTGGAATGTTAAATTGTTAATAACATCATTAAGAAATCAGGTAGCTATTTTATGTAGCGTTAAAAGTAATCAGATTGAGTTAAAATGACCATATTGTACATGTTTTCTTCTTTTGTCTTAATGGCTCAGTGGCAAAGGAACAATTTAGTTCTTGAGGCTTTGTACCTAAGAGTTGTTTTAAATTTATGGAATCATTCTTGGTATTTTTTGAAAAATTCATCCCTTCCCCATTTAAAGATTATAAATGTGTAGTAGTAAAAGCTGTTCTTCAAGAAGTAAATGTTTTATAGTGAAAACTGTTATGATAATAATAATGTAGTTATCATAAAGCTCCCTTAGTTTACTCTGATATATATCAAATAATGCTGTGGTTAATGCTGTATTGATTATATATTGAAGTTGTCAGATAATTCAAGACAGAGCATACCAATAGCATATGGAGTAGAAATAGGATTTGGGGGACTCTAGGGTCCAGCATTATTTATATAGTATTTCAGGGCTCTCACACTGCTCTTAAGAGATTGTTTTGGACATTCAAGAAGGAAAAACTTTATATGAAAGGTTATAGAGACAGTAATTTGGAATTTAATGAAAAAAGTAAGATTCATAGGAATGAAAAAGAATGTACACATTACTCAGGCTAAATTTATTATACCTATATTTGAAGCTAGCATTTATAACTCTGAATATAAACAGTTATCTCTGTATACACAAAAATTTCCTGAGGTACTCTTCTCTTACCTGTCTTTTTTTGTTTCTTTTTTTTTGACTTCTTTCCTTTATATTTCACTGCTGCTGTATTCTATGTGCTTCAGGCATCTAGTTCAACTTGTGCATTAGTCAGTATGGGATTCTATTAAAAGGAATAAGCAAGGAAAGAAGAATTGGCACCAAAAGGGCTTGAAGAAAGTGGTACCAAGTGAATTGCTCTTTTGTTTTTTTCTTAGATCCACATTCATCTGTTCTAACAATGGAGGAAGTGGCAGGATATACTGAGAATTGAGTGTACGGAATTTTGAAGTCAGTAGTGTTCCTAGAGCACAATTATTGTTTTTGTTTTATTACTTTTTATTATGGAAAATTTCAGATATGTACAGAAGGCAAAAACCTCCAGGCACTCATCAGCCAGCTTTAATAACTATCATTTCATGGCCAGTCTTTGATGTAATTCATCCCTTGATTATTTTGAAGCAAATCCCAGGCATAGTTTCATATATAAATATTTCACTAGCTCAGTGAAATATTTGCTGTATTTTGGAATGATAAATATTCTTTGGTAATGGATCATAAAATTGTAGAATTGGAAGGTTCCGTAGAGTTAGGATTCAAATCCAGTCTGCCATCCAGTGCAAGATTCCCCCTTCAGAGTTTCCTGAGAAGCAGTTATCCTCCCCCTTTAATATCCTAGTTATTAAAGTTTATTTAAAAGTTATTAAAGCTAGATAAACTTAAAAAAAAAAACTTATTTAGCTGCTAGTTGCTCAAGATAACTTCAGACCAAAATGGAATGTTGCCTACTGTTTATATGTTACTGGTTAGAACAGTCTCTTTGTATACACATTTACAGGAAGAGACTAGGTTTTTGTCTTTATTCCTGCCTCTTGTCTTACTATTGAGTTTTGTTTTTTAAATTTTAACAAGAAGTGTTGGCATTTAATTTAGTGTCCCAGATTAAAACTTTGGGACATTTTTGCATTTGAGAGAACCAGCTAGAAGTAGATTTTTTCAGTTTTTGGCGTAATCTGTGTATCCTTTTTCTCTGTACCACCTATGCCTTTAATACTTCCCTACCTTCTTTCTTTTTCTTCTTTTCCTTTTTTCTTTCCATTTTTTCCTGTTATTTGGCAACTCTTTATCAGTGTGGACTAAAGGAAACAAAAGGAGATGGAACCTGTGCTACATAATTGTTCCAGTGAAGTCTTTGGCATTGGATCGTCTGTGGATTTAATGTATTCATCCATCTCTCCAATTATTCACTGATAAACTAATATCAGTTGTTTAAAATGGGTATTCTGTATGCTTTAAATAACCTTTAAATTAAAAACTAGTGCTTTTGTTTATTTCCTTTTTGGGTGTCAGCTTGTAATTGACTATAAAATAGTATATGTTTTGAAAAGTTCTATCACTATATTTGGCTTTACATATTTGAGGTGAGCAGCACTGTTAACTTTCTGTTTTCCCCATTTTTTAGGAGGAAGATATCAACTAGAGATTAAAATACCAGAAACATATCCATTTAATCCCCCTAAGGTATTGTAAGCCTATTTTTGTGCATGAACTTTTCTTGGCTCGTTTAATTAATATGTACTTTAGTGTTTATTAAAATTACAAATTTTTTAGTTGTTTACTGTGTAAATTTAGCATGGACAAGATGTCAGGTAATGAAAGATGGTTTGCTTCTGGAATTAGAATGAAAAGTAAGCTTACTCAGAGGCAGCTAGTAATAGCTTTAGACAGGAATAGGATGTGTATCTGACAACGGCTTAAATTCTAGGTCTGGAAAAACTTACAGTGTTCCCAAATTTAGAGAATCCTTATACAAGTCCTTATTTGCCTCAGAGAAGTATATTTTTTAGGGAAGAGAGTACTCTGACTTTATTCAACAATTATTTGAGTACTTTGTGCCAATATAGCAATAAGTAAGACTTACACTGCTGTCCTTGCTTTCATGGAGCTCATGTTCTAGTGGGGGGGAAAATGAACAAATCATTGCAACTGTGATGAATGTTAAAGAGGAAACAGAATAATCTAGGATTGTGTATATAACAAGGGGAACTAACCTAAACTTATTTTTTGACTGAATTGCTTCCTTTATGTCTTTACTTTTGCTATCATCACCATTTTAGTTTAGGCATTCAGCTTTATTACTGTGCCTGTTTTGCCTGTTATTTAATCACCCTTTCATCTTTGCCATAACTATTCATTCTTTGCACTGCTGTTCTATAAATCTTCCTAAAGTGCAGTTTTGATCATGTTTCTTTTCTTTCCTTGTTAATAGTCTGAACTCCTTAGCTGGGCATTTAAAAGCTCCTGTAACCTGACCTTAGTCTTTTTTTCCATCCTAATCTTCTGCTGCCCTCACCCACAATATGAGTCTCTTTTTCTCCAGCCTAGATTATTTGCTGTTTGTAGGTTAATGCTTATTCTTTCATACTTTCCTGTCATTTTCACTTGAACCATTGTCCCTATCATTTAAAATTCTGCTTTTCTTTTGAGGTCTAGGTAAAGTATCACTTTCTCCATTATGCTGTGCCTGTCAAAATGTTTCTCCCTCTACTCCCAGTAGCATTTTATATAATTTATATAGTACCACCACAATTACAGTACCAATTAATGTATTGTATTATTTGGGGATATGTATCTTTCACTAGCTTTTGTGCTCCTGAGGTCAAAGACGATGGCTTAATACACCTTTGTATTTTCTATGGCTCCTGAAAGTATAGTGTCACTTGAGCATATGATAGTAGTCACTCAGAAAATGTTCCAGAATTCATTCATTCAGCCTACTGATTGTCCCCCATTTAAGAATAGACACAGCAGTGGAAGTTCCAGGGTGAAGTTGAGTCACCTACCAGTTTGAGGTGCCTGTTATTCTGTTGTTTATGTATATCTATTTTCTGATAAGCCTGGTTGATGCTTTTAAATTGTGGTAAAGTATACATAACATAAAATTTACTATTTTAACCATTTTTAAGTGTGCAGTCTAGTGGCACTAAGCACATTCACATTGTTTTGCATGTATCACCACCATCCATTTCCCGAACATTTTCATCTTCCCTACTAAACAATAACTCCCTGGTATTCCATGCTGGTAACCACTGTTATATTTTTTCTCTATGAATTTTTCCTACCCTAGGTACCTCATTTAAGTGGAATCATACGATTTTTGTCCTTCTGTACCTGGCTTACTTCACTTAGCATAATATCTTTAAGGTTCATCCATATTATAAGTTGTGTCAGAATGCCATTCCTTTTTAAGGCTTAATAGTATTCCCTTGTACATACCCACCACATTTTGTTATTCCCTTTAACCATTGATGGACATTTTGGTTGTTTCTACCTTTTATGCCTGGTTGATTTTTTTTTTTTTTTTTGCCTTTTATAAAAGTAGTTTGTGTGTGTTGTAGAAATTTTTTTAAAAAATAAATTTATTTATTTATTTTATTTTTGGCTGTGTTGGGTCTTTGTTGCTGCGTGTGGGCTTTCTCTAGTTGCGGCAAGCAGGGTTACCCTTCGTTGTGGCGCATGGGCTTCCCACTGCGGTGGCTTCTCTTATTGCGGAGCATGGGCTCTGGGTGCACGGGCTTCAGTAGTTGTGGCTCATGGGCCCCAGAGCGCAGGCTCAGTAGTTGTGGCGCACGGGCTTAGGTGCTCTGTGGCATGTGGGATCTTCCCGGACCAGGGCTTGAACCTGTGTCCCCTGCATTGGCGGGGGGATTCTTAACCACTGCGCCACTAGGGAAGCCCCTGTTGTAGAAATTTGACTAGTGAAGAATTAAAAGAAAAGAACATTTTTTTTTTCCAGTATGACCACTTGGAGATGACCACTATTAAGCTCTCATCTTACATTTGTGACTTAATTTTCATCCTTACCCTAGTTACCCTCCACTAGGTAATCTTGGTTGTCAGTGTTATCATTAGAATGAGTAGTAGTCACTTGAGGTTACTTTAATTATAGAATAATGTAAATTTAAGGAAAGAGGATTTTAAAATGTTTTGAGATAAGGATGACCTCAAAGCCTAAAAAAATTTTAATGGAAATGAGGGAAGAAAGAAAAGATCTCAAGAGAGACTGCTCTCAACCACTATATTTTTACTATTAAATAATGATAGTAACAGTTGTCACTTGTTTTTTTTTTTTTGTCACTTGTTTTGTGCTAGGAATTTTATATGCCTTTCCTGAAAGTCTTCATAACAGTCTTAATGAATGAGGAACTGAGGCTTAGAGGTTAAATAGAAACTGGATCCTGTAAGGCCCACTGTGCTCTACTTCTTGTTTCTAATGAGGAAGGAATAAGGGCAAAATCTCTGAAACGGTCAATATGACTCTACCAAGAACAAAAATAATCAACCACAGTTCAAATCTTACTTCTGGCATTTAACTGGCTTCTTGATTTTAGGCAAGCTATCTAACCACTGTGTGTTTCCTCATTTGTAAAATCCTTTCAAAGGATTATGAAGATTAAAGGAGTAGTACATTTAAAAAACAATATTTCAATAATTCTACGAAATATTTTTTCATATTTTTAACATCTCTGAAATCAGGACATATCTTTCAATGGATGAGATGTTATAACTTAATTGGCAGAGTTTTTTTCTTTCTCAAGGTACATAAAATAATGGTGTATTGAATAATTGATGGTACCTGAGATTCAGTGAAATACAATACTTAGAACAGTGCCTGCACAGACTAAGCATGCTGTAAATATTAGCTAGCATTAACCAGTGACTACCACCGTAAGAGGCCCTTCTTGAAGTAGTCTGTTGGCTTCCCTCTGCAACGTTGTAAAATACAGTAGCATTGATGCTTAAATTTCCTCTTTAATTTGAAATTCTCATACGTTACTGGTAGGAATGTAAAGTGTTGGAGCTGCTTTGAAAAATATTTTGGTCAAAATGGTAAACGTAGAGTTACCTTATGACCTAGCAGTTCTACTTCTACAACACTTATTTCTTTTTTAAATTTATTTTTTATTGAAAAAAAAAAGGTTAGATGCCACAAAGTAGGTGTGAGTGCCTTAACCATATGCATGTTGTCAGGCCCGAGAGCTTCTTCCATCCTTGTCGAGGGCAGTGCTAACCTTCTCTCCTTTCATACAACACATAGCAGTTCTACTTCTAGATATCTACTCAGTAGAAACGAAAACGTGTCCACACAACTTGCACACAAGTGTTCATACCAGCACTATTCATAACTGCCAAAAAATGGAAGTGCTCTAAATGTCCATCAACTGAATATCCATACCACATTTGGTTGTAAAAGTGATAAAAGTGCTGATATGTGCTACAAAATAGATGAACTTTCAAAACATCACGCTAAATGAAAAAGCCAGGCAACAAAAAGCCACACATTGTATGATTTCATTTATATGAACATTAGAAGAGGCAAATCACAGTGAAAAAAAGTAGACTGGTGGTTGCCTAGGGCTGGAGGAGTGTGGAGGAATGGGGAGTGACTGCTGTTACGTAGTTTCTTTTTTTTAAAATTAATTCATTTTCAAATTGTTTATTTACAGTTTATAGAAATACAATTCAGTTATTTTATTTTTAATTAATTTATTTTATTTATTCATTTTTTCACTGTGTTGGATCTTCGTTGCTGTGAGCAGGCTTTCTGTAGTTGCAGTGAGTGGGGGCTACTACTCTTCATTGTGGTGCATGGGCTTCTCATTGTGGTGGCTTCTGTTGTTGTGGAGCATGGGCTCTAGGTGCGTGGGCTTCAGTAGTTCTAGCACACGGGCTCAGTAGCTGTGGCGCACAGGCTTAGTTGCTCCACGACATGTGGGATCTTCCCGGACCAGGGCTCAAACCCGTGCCCCCTGCATTGGCAGGTGGATTCTTAACCACTGCGCCACCGGGGAAGCCCAGTTGTTGTTGTTGTTTTTTAAATAATTAATTATTTTGCTGCGCCGGGTCTTAGTTGCGGCTTGCAGGATCTAGTTCCCTGACCGGGGGCCAAACCTGGGCTCCCTGCATTGGGAGTGTGGAGTCTTAACCACTGGACCCCTGGGGAAGTCCCTGTAGTTTCTTTTTGAGGTGTTGAAATGGTCAAAAATTAGATTTTGGTGATGGTTGCACAACTGTGAATGTACTAACCACCATGAAGTTGTGCACTTTAAATGGGGGCAAATTATTGTCTCAATAAAAGTGTTTATTTCCCTCTGTAGTCTATAAATGTAAATCAAAAGTGATTGCATAGTTCTGGTTCTGTCTTAGGCACTTGATACATTATTTCATTTAATCTTTGAAATCACTATTTTATTAACACTTCCTCCTCCCACCTTTTTCAGAAAAGCAAGAAAAATGGACTAAAAACATAAGAGGTCTGTCTGATGTTTTTGCTACTAGTTCATGTTGCTCTTCAGGCCACTACTGTCTTAATTCCAGCCATACCATGTTGAAGTAACTTCAAGATTTAGAAAGGTCTTCCTTCAGTCAACCCACATTTGTCTCCCTCTGGCTTCTACCAGTTAGTTATACTTGGAATTTAGTATTCTTTTAAATATGGTACTCCTCCCATTTATGGCCGTAAGCTTTTGGAGTAGATGCTAATTAATGTTGATAAATATGTTCTAGATACTTACTATATTAGATTTGAATTTTGACTGGTAGATAATGATGGAAAGAGT